GAGAGAAAGTCAAACGCACTTGAGTGCGATCCGACGACCATCGTTCAAATCCGAAAACGATCCAACGGCCCACGAAAAACCCTAATTATAAATTAGGAAAAAGGCCAAAAGATAATAACTAAACACACTACGAGGGAGGTCTACTAGTCCAAATTCGCACCCGGTCAAAATTTCACTTTTCACATATCCCAGGCAATATCGAGGCTAGCCACAATAATATCGACACCGTCTAATTAAATTCGTCACGAAACTCCCAGAAATTCGACACCAAAGTTCGGGCTCTAAATAACGGTCAAATTCGATCGAGTGCGATTCTAGCGAAATCTCAATTTTAAAAACAATAACCGAGAGTGATCAGTTCCCGGGCGAGATTTTACTATAAGCACACTGACGAATTACACGTTTTATAAATCCCAAAAATGGGCCGAAATTCGGAATGTCACAATTTAAGTCCAATTCCCTCTCTCTCTCCTCATTCCCTTTCTCTCTTCTCACGGCAGCCCCCCCCAACCGAGAACTCTCTCCCTCTCTCTCTCTCTTGGCCGTGGACAAGCCAAGCCGGTTCAAGCCACCGCCGCCGTCGCCGTTTCGCCGATCGTCGCCGCCGCGTGCTGCCGTGAGCTGCCGATCAGCCGATCCCCCTTTCCACTCTAGCCGAGTTAGCCCAGAGTTCGGGTAAGTCACGCCCTAAACTCTATTTAGGATATCGGGTATTAACGGACTCGTTAGACGCGGTTTAGGGTAGTTTAGAGGTTGATGGAAGTGATTGTAAATGGATTAGAGGAGAGCTTGATCCCTTGTTGTGTTTATGGATGTTCATGTGGCTGGTGGATGATAGTTTGGACATGGTGGAATGAGTTTTGGCGGTTGAAATTCGGTGGAAATCAACTAGGATTTGAATCCGTGCGGTTTGGTGTGATTCTCGGATTCGTGACTACTATACCCGTCCAGTTTGCAATTTTTGTGGAGAATTTTGTGGGCCGAATTTGAGAAAGTTTCCTTCATGAAAGTTGCTCCCAACATCTTTAAGTATAACATATTTTAAATTTGGAATTTTTGGAGGCCATTTGGGTCGCACGAAAGCCCATTTAGAGACCGTATTAAACTGCTCGGAACACTGTTCATCTCGACCTTCTTGTCTTGCCGAATTTTTATAAAATTTTCCGGATCTATTTTCAATGAACTTCCTTCACAAAAGTTGTTGGAGACTTTCTTTTCTATGGCATATAAAAATTTCAAAGCTTTTTAAGGTGATTTGGGTGTTAAAATAAATGTATTTTGAGGACAAAACAGTCTGTTAGAGCGAACTGATTTTGGTCTGATTTCGAGGGACAAAAAGGCATGGTTGCAGATTGAACCGGATTTCGTGTTCTTCATAAGAAATGTTTATCAAGATGTTTTTTATGACATATCCAAAATTTAGAATTTTGAAGTTCGTTTACTATTTATTTTGATAGGATTTCGATCACTGTGTAAATTGCCCAGATTTACCCTAATTCTATAGATGTTCATTTTTATGAGCGAGAGATTGTGTGTGACCGCGTGCCAAGTATGTGTGGCCGTGTGGCGTGATTGTGTGATGGTAATGTGTGTTGGTGTAAGGCATGTGTGGCGTGGGATTGTGTGGCCGTGTGTGATGTGTGACCGTGTGGCACGTGTGGTACGATGGTATGAGATGATTGGAATGGTCAGAAAAGTGGTACCCTGAGGCGTGTTCGTTTACGCGGGGTGAGTCCGTCCTGAGGCGTGTTCATTTATGCGGGACGATGCCGTCCCCGACGGTGACGATGCCGGCCCGGCCGGGTGACGATGCACTGATGAGGTCGGAAGACCGTTGGCGATGCGTTTTACGCGGGCGCGGTAGAAGGAAAGTTGAGTGTAGGATTCCGTCTGGCGTGTTCGTTTACACGGGATGATGTCGTCCACGACGAGGTGAGCGATGCCGGCCCGACGGGGTGACGATGCCTGACGAGGTCGAAAGACCGTTGGCCGATGCGTTTTACGCGGCGCGATAGTGGTGGAAAAGTTAGGAATGAGATGTGGACTCGATTTGACGTGTGAGGATTGCGAAAGCTGACACAGGGCGTGAGTTAGTGTGCGAGTATGGTTGTATCGTGTGATGTAGTGCTCGATTATGGGGTAAAAACTGCTAGGCATGGTATGGGACGTGCCCAAGTGGGTTTGCCTTATAATCGAGGCACGCGCGATTGTGATGCATTGATGCATGTGAATTCATATTACATGTTTTTGTTTTGCGACATGAATGAGGCATCATTGTGGCATGTTGGCTGTATTATTATTTGGCGTGCAGGGAGGTGTATGAAGAATTCCAGGTAGGTTCGCGTGTGATTGTTAGTATGAGTGGTTGTTTGTGTCAGGTATGTGTTGTCTGGAGGTACGTGATAGCCTAGGTGGGGTTTAGGGGTGTACTTATTGAGATGTAATCTCATGGTTGTTTCAACCAAACATTTCAGAACCCCGGTCTGATCAATAAACCTTCCGCCGCCGCCGCAACGTTTTGCAATACCGTTGTACACCGACATTAACGTGGTAGAGTACCCGACAGACGAGCAGGAGACTTAGGAGGATTCAGATTTAGAGGACGAAGAATCAGACTCGGAGTGGACGCCAAGTAAAGGGCGTAGGGGCAAGTGTAGGGGTTGTGGAATAGGCTTTTGAAGCGTACTATTTTTGGTGATAGGGTACCCAGGTTATCGATCCTTTTTGATATCGGTGGTATGTAGTGTGGCGATGCGGTGTGCTTGTATATATATGTGATTTTGTAAATCGTGGATATTATATAAATTTGAATGAGAAATGAATTTATGCATTCTCCCTGATTACCCTAGTTATTATCGTCCGGGTATTGGTGGTTTCCGCTGTTGATATAAATCTCTGATAAGTGTCATTTGGGTCGGCGATACCCTGGGATGTCGCATCATTCGACCAGAGAAGCGTGTCGCGTGCTCGAAGGGGTTCGGGGCGTGATAAGTCCTGTGCTTTTTTTCTTCTGTGGATGTTTTTTGTGCTCTTTTGGGATAATTTGATTACTGGGATCATCATTGTCTCGAGAGTACAAGTTCATGCTCCTTCTTTTTGTCATTTTTGGCCATCAGATATCTGGGCTACAGTTAACTAGCAAATCGTATTCTTGAAATTTGTACTTGTAAGATTGCATGAGCAGGGATAGCTCTTACAGAGAATAATGAACTCATGAGAGGAAAAAAAATATCGGGATGTGTCTTCCTAGTGTTTCTGTTGTTTTGTATTCAATCAAGTAAAAGTACTTGCGTGCAGTGTTCTCTTTCTCTTATTAATATAAGTGACTTCACAAAGAGTTAACAATTTGTGTTATGGTCAGAATCAAGTGTATCAATTACTGTTTGGCTAAAGGTGGCAAGGGATATTTCATGTGGCAACAACTCTTTTCGAAGGCGCCAAAAGAGTACATAAATTCCAGTTAACTAGGTCAATCCAAGAAGAGCATGCTCGCGGGTTGTGAAGAATTCCAAAATGACACCCTATCATAGGAACCACTTTTCTAGTCAAGAAGGCATCATCTGTCTACTTGACTTTTCCTTTATTCTCAAGAAACAGAACAATATGCCCGTGACGAAGCAAACAAGAGCACAGTAGCTTATCAAATACGAATTGAGGGGTTCGATCCGATTCTAGTCAATATCAAGGGGACTCCATGTTGGGGATGAAGAGTGAGCACAGGAATAGGGGCGTGCTTGTAAGAAGGAGATAGCTGCACTGAGAAGTTCTGCAAAATCAAGGTCAGAGCAACTTTGACTTCGAGGAAAGCAAAGTTTTGGCCAATGCAAGTTCTAGGACCCCAACTGAAAGGGAAAAAACAGAGCTTGTTCTTGGTTGCTTTTGAGACTCCCTCGGAAAATCTCTCCGGATTGAACTCTTTGGCATCATCCCCCCAAATCTCTGAATCTTGGTGGATCAGGATAATGGGCAAAAAAAGCAGAACTCCTGGAGGTATTTGTATACCTCCCAACTTGGTTGTCTTGTGAACTGTTCTCGCTGTCATAAATACAGGCGGATATAGCCGAAGCACCTCGTTCAGTATCATGCTTACCTGCATATAAACCAATTTGTTGTCAGCCTGTTTTTGGCCAAAAAGACATTGAGAAAGCAACAAAATTATCTAAACCTTGCCTAGTGGACCTAATTCATCTAACTGAATATCATTCATGTGATCAATATTGTTACTTCGAATGCAAAGGTACGATCCATAGGTCTCACCTCTGTCACTAGTAGAGGTAAGAACAATAACTAGATATCAGGTCAGGTAGTTACAATTTCCTGCATTTTTCGCTTTTAAATGTTTTGTTTGTCCATTTTTTTTTGGAGAAATCTATTTATTAGACGTGAGTTTTGAAATTCAGGAATATATGTTGTGAAATCAAGATATACAGCATACTACAATACAACGAGAATCCTTACAATTTTCAGTCGGCTCAACCCATCAAAATCCGGTTTGTTGTTGCCGAAAACTTGCAGAACTTCCTCTCTTGCTCTGTCTTGCCAGTTTTGGTGCTTGCTCAACAAAATCAGAGTCCAAGTAAGCAAAATAGAGGCCGCCTGAGCCGCTATGTTGAACGCTTTGCACTCTTGAATCACATCCTCTATGCTCATACCCTTTTGATGCCCTGATTCTTGAATTTCTTTCATGTTTGATTTTAGCAACAGTCCCAAGAGATCATCGTCATCTACTTCTCCTTCCTTCATTGCCTTCTCTCTTTTGGTCACTACGTCTTCCAACAATCCTTTTACTTTACGGTCGATTTCTTTCATCCTCTTGTGCAGTTTGGTCGGCAAGAGGCTGCATTTTTTTTTTTATCCAAGTCAACTTCAAGATGAAAGCTTTATACGTTAATATGGTTTCTACAGTTTGTAGGTCTTGCTAGATAAATACACTCAATCATTTTCGTCCATTGTATTAAGTTCAGAAGTTCGAAGACAGAAATCGAGATAAGAATTTGATAGAAGATTTGCCTTACCATACATTGTTTTGATAGGTCAAAATTGTAGTGATCCCCATAGATTCCATGGATAGGGATTGAGTAAGTCGAACTGAGGTTTGTTACTCTTGTATTTATACTTTTACAACAACTAAAAGATCTCAAAATAAATTATTAATATGGGTGCGTTTGTTTCGTGAAAAACGAATTATTTGAAAAATATTTTCCAAAAAATGATCGTCTGAATAACTTTAAAAAAATAAATAAATAAAAAATATTTTCATCCATAAACTCTTATCGATAATGAAATATTATTCATTAGTTAATTATTTCAAGCGATACAAACGATCCTTTTTTGAAAAATATTTTCCAAATTATTCATTTTTCGCAAAATAAATATAGGCTAAATCTGAACTTACTTCCACGCAGGGATAAATGCGGTTTGCTGAATTTTGTTTGCGAGCCCAAATTGTTCTTGTTGAAGGAGGACGATGCCCCTGACTTGGTCGTAGGTACTACCAAAAGCAGCTCTACAGAGTACATCACCCGTCAAATGCTGCAGGTGAGGCCACACGTCCACTTCACCAGCCAAACTTTCCTTCTCCCATATCCTAATCATCTCCTCCCCACTTGAACATGATGCTGTCACTACATGCTGTAATTTTTCAACAAATCAAAAAGGTAAATGCATTGAATGTATGTAGTTTCTATATGTTATATGTCCATGGACCACGAATTTCAGGTTCTGTTACCATGAAATGTCATGGGATTATTAATCATTTTAAGTTCCATTAGAAGTTGCATCTATTCAGGAAATTATTAGCCCCAAGCAGTAATACCTTCAACTTTTCATAATGAAAAGCTGGGTTGATGATCTTTCTATGTTTGGCCCATTTCTCCCCCTCAATATTCAGGAGCCCCGATGTCAAGATATCTGCAATGGCCTTGGGATGTGGCTTTCCAAAATCATTGACCCGTGCAAATATTTCCTTCAACATGTCTGAGTCCATGATGTTCAGCACAGGCATTGGCCCTAACCATGTAAAGCAAAGCTTCCCTGCAATAACCATTTTCAAAAGACATCATTTATCTAGGCGTCAAATGGCTACCGGATTCCATATTTCACCCATTTGTGTGTCAGGTGCTTAAACTAGATGCATCGAAAGCACCCGACTCAAAACCCATCTAGCAGATCGATTTGCATGAGAAAATGAGCAATTTTAGTAGCCTTCCGACCGTCGCTGACTACATAGCTGCCATTAATTTGTCATGTGACTTTGCCCGTAAAAGCAACACGCTTAATGTTGGAAAATCTGCCCTATAGCAGGATTTAGTGAACTTGCTTTCATGATGATATCTCGATTAAATTGCTGAAAAGAGACCAGAAATATATTTTCTTTAGCAGGTTTTTAGCTAGAAATTACAATCTTTAGTGAGTTGAAATCGTACATTGTTTTGTACTAGGAAATCGAGTTTGTATTGGCTAGAAAAATTCCACTGCATCTCAACTTTGATCAGATGCGTACCGTATTTCTTGATGGAGTGATGATAGAAAGGGAGAACGCGAGGCACGATGTCATCGGAGAAAGGAGTAATGGGTTGAGATTGAGCTTGCTTGGTCATTCTGATGATGTCTCTCAGATCTTGAAACAAAAGCCCGTAAGCAGTTCCAATTAGACCTTGTTGTCTTAGACATTTTTCTAGCTTCTTCGGCTTCAGCCAAAACAAACTCAGTAATTTCCATGCGCAAGTGAAGAAGGTGATCAGAACAAGGGAGAGATCAATTGAATAAGTCAAGGACATTTCCATATTCTACGTTAAACATATGACACGCTTGTCTTCTTTCTATGAGAGGATTTAAATAGGACTCTTGGGAAGCAGAATTCTGGACACGACCCTAGACCAATATTTTTCAACAAAATATTCATTCTCAATGAGTGATTACAGCTTGCTTCTCGCAATAGAAAAAGGTGGTAATAGCGATGATGCAATCCGTGCTTGGGCACGACCCCCGGGGTCATGCTCGATGTAGCCTGTTCGGCAAGCCCTAGTAAAGATTATTTCTTCTTTCGTAACTGGTTTTGGTCAATTTAAAAGCAATTGATCCTTCACAAGTGAAGAAGTAGCTAATATTCTACTTGAACTTGAAAGTAGTAAAAACATTATTTCAAGTTACCTACCAATTAAATTGCTCACTTGTCAAACCTCAAAAATCAATACGGGGACGGCATCTCAAAAATCAAAATGCGCAATCAAGCAAACTTTAGAGATCAATGAAATCACTGACACTCTTTGATTTCTCTTTTTTGGAAGTTTCTGTTGCCTGCTTGGGTGTCTGAAGAAATCTCTAAAATAGATTAGGGCTTCTCTAATTTTAGGCCAGGACAATTCACAATCAAGCCATTGATTGGGCCAGCAAGCAAGTTGGCGCTCCAAGCAAGTCGACGCTGTTAGGGTTAATCTCTGATTTCGCAAGGCATGTTCACAATTTGTTCCATAAAACGTGAAATAATGAGATATATTTTTTTTATTACGATAAAATAACGATGAGTTAAATTAAAAATAATTTACAAAAAGAGTATTTTAGATTTATTATATGAAATTTGATCATTTTAAAAGGCATACTAATTAAAACATTAGTATATTAAAGCTGAATTTTATCAGAGATTGTGAGTCTTTTACTTGTGCCGATTAGAAATGGTTATGTTAAAAAGTAGATATTTCCTATTTGTCATTAATCACAAAAAGCGAATAAAAGGATTTTATTGACATGTAAAAGTAATCATAGATAGTAGGAACATAAAAGGAACGGGCACATCTTAACATAGAAATTTAAGAAATTAGGTAGAAGTTTGGGGGGGACTAGATAGTATGACCATTCCTAAACATGAAATTTAGTAGATTAGGCAGAAGTTTGGGGGGACTAGATAGTATTACTATCCCTAAACATGAAATTTAAGAAATTGGGTAGAAGTCCCAAAACATGAAATTTAAGAAATTAGGCAGAATTTTGGAGGGACCAGATAGTATGACCATCCCTAAAGAAGTTTAAATAATTTGCCTTTGGTCATATTATGATAAAGAAAGCAAAAGCGATTCTCGTAGTAGTGGGAGCAGCACTTGCTTGCCCCTCTATGGGTCTGCAGGGTCTATATTGTTAGAAAAACCATTGCAATAGACTAAACAATAAATAATCCAATCGAGTAACTAATCATTTAGCATTTTGCATGTTAATGGAAAAATAGTGATCTTTGACAATACCACTGCATTAACATAAATTTCTTCTTTAACTGCTTTTTCGTATTTCATCTCATTGGATCAGTAAAACAGTTCGGGTTGGTGCAATCTCCGAGAAAAAAGAGTGATGTTTTGAGAAATTTTCTTTATATTAATCTTATTCAAATTCGGAAAGAAATAGACAATTATGGTTGGAAGTTTAGTCTGTCGATTGTTTAATTAACTTAGTGAATTAGTATTTCTTGGTATAATAAGGTCATTATCTCTTCAACTCGGCGAGTTTAGTGCTCAAAGTGAGATTCCATAGAGATAGGTCTTCATTGAAATTATTATATAATAGATAACTTTTGAACTTTAGATAGCTTTATTTTTATTTTCATTTATATAAATTTTTCGTCTTAAAACTACCACCATCTTTTTTTTTCTCAACAGATGTGTTAGGTTGGTTGTGATCCTGATAATTTCCCATATAAAAAATGCTCTATTTCGATATTCAAAATTAAGAGGGGAAAATACCAAAAAAGTTATTAATGTAGTGGTACCAATTTAGTCTTAAACTTTTTAATTAAATCAATTTAGTCATAAACCCTTTTACATATATGCCAATTGAGTCCATCCATCAAATTTTGGCTGAAAAATGCTAATATGGATGCCGGCTGTCCTATGTGGGGCGATCGGCATTAACTTGGACATTTTTTAAAATGATATTTTAATAATTTTTTAATTTTTATAATTTATTTGTTCTTTTGTTTTGTTTTCTTTTTCTTTTCTTTATTATTTTTGACATTTTTTCTTCATTTTTTTACTTTCATTTTGGCCAAAAAATAAAATAAAAATTAAATTTTCAATTTTTTAAAAAAATATTAAAAATTATCCACGTCAGCATCAGTCATATCACACAGGACGGTCATGTAGGATGGACAGTTGTGCCACGTAAAACTAAATTTGTACTAGTGTAATAGGTTTAAGAATTTTTTTTTTGGGTACTTTCTCCCAACTAAGATGTGGTTTTTGGGATGTGCGCTTCCTTGTGGTTTTGTTGCTTTTGTATTCAGTCAAGTACAAGTACTCGCGTGTAGTGTTCTCTCGCTTTTTAACGTAACTGACTTCAGAAGGAGTACGGGTTTCAAATAAGGATCAGATGTATAGTTTATTTTTGGGTTAATACCACGAAAAACTATAAACTAATACACATGTGATAAATTTACCCCGAATTATTTTTTTGATCACAAAAAACCCCAAACTGGTACACCTGTGATAAATTTATCCCGAACTATTTTTTTGACCACCAAAAACCCCAAACTGGTACACTTGTGATAATTTTACCCAAAACTAATTTTTTGGCCATCAAAAACCCCAAACTGGTACACCTGTGATAATCTTACCACGAACTAATTTTTTTATCACTAAAAACCCCAAACCGATACATTTGTGACAAATTTACTCTCCGTTAGTGTATATTAAATTGAATTAATATCACGAAAAATCACAAATTGATAAACTTGTGACAAACAGAGGGATAAAACCCCAAACTGGTAAACCTGTTAACTATCACATGTCATTAAACTTACCAATTTGACAGTAAAATTTAACGAAAACTAACGGAGGGTAAATTTGTCACAGGTGTACCAGTTTGAGGTTTTTTGTGGTCAAAAAATTAGTTCGGGGTAAAATTATCACAGGTGTATCAATGCAGGGTTTTTTGTGGTCAAAAAAATAGTTCGGGATAAAATTATCGTAGGTATATCAGTTTGGGGTTTTTTATGGTAAAAAAATTAGTTTGGAATAAATTTATCACAGGTGTATCAGTTTAGGGTTTTTCATGATATTAACCCTTCATTTTTTGGCCAAAGGTGGCAAGCGATATTTCATGTGGGAACAACTCTTTTAGAAGACACCAAAAGAGTACGTAAAACCTAGTTAATAGTTCCATCCAAGAAGAGCATGCTGTCGAGTAGTGAAGAATTCCAAAATGAAACAGTATTATTAAGTGAGAACTTTTAGTCAAGAAGGCATCGTATGTTTGCATGACTTCTCCTTTATTCTCAACAAACAAAACATTTCGTTTAATGTACGCAACAAAGAAAACAAGAGCATGGAATCTGATCAAATACGAACTGAGTATTCGATCCGATTCTAGTCAAAATCAAGGGGACTCCATATTGGGGATTAAGAGTGATCAAAGGAATAGGGCCATGCTTATAAGGAGGGCATAGCTGCACTGAGAAATTCTGCAAAATCAAGGCCAAAGCAACTTTGGTTTCAAGCAAAGCAAAGTTTTGAGACTTCCTAGAGAATCTCTCTGGATTGAACTCATTGGCATCGTCACCCCAAATCTTTAGATCATGGTGTTATAATATCAATAATGTGATCTCACATTTAGTTTATTATTCTCACATTCAGTTAATTTCATTAACATTCATTGTCCACGTTCGAGATACGTGGTGACCGCCCAAAAGTCATGATAACGTCTTGATGGAAGACGTTATGTGAAGGGGTGTAAATGGACATAAAATGGTCTTCTAAGCCAAATCCTCTCATTATCAGAAAACACACCATCGACATTAAGAGGGTAATTGGCTAGAGATTTCCATTCATCGACCGTTCAACGCTCGACGATTCAGGTTATCAATCGAACTTCATGAATGGTCGGAGGTTAGTAAAGAATCTACACGTTTCCATATTTGATCATGATTATGCATGAGTTTTGTTCATCCATGCAAAATCAGGATATTCAGTCCTTTAGTTTTTCTAACATTTGGTATCG